ATTTATTTCTTACAGTACGAATGATGAGTTCTTTGTAGTTTTCTTTTCCTTGTTTTAAAGAAAAATTTACTCTGTTTTTTAATTTTTATTTTCATAAATCATCAAGGTCAAACAGTAGCTGAGTTTTCAATTTTCAAGGTACTCATAAAATGCTTGTTGTAAAACAGTAAAAAAAAATAGTAAAGCGCTTTGGCATTCTTTTGCTACTTTTAGGAAATCGAAAATAAGTAGTAGAAATTGTGATTTTTCAGCTAGGGTCCGTTTGGTTCACACGTTTTAGTCAGTGATTCTGATTTATTAGTGAAACTTTATAAGAGAAGAAATTTTTAATTTAAAATTTTTTTAAGATGAAAAATACTATAATAAAATCAGAATTATAGGTTTAAGTATATATAGGCTGGACCTTAATGTTTGAATATATATATATATATTATATTGTTTTTGAAAGTATTTAATGGAACAAAAATCATATCTAAATTTTCTAATTTAGCAATAAAACTCGAGAATAAAGTTCATAAAATCTTATTAAGATGTTGATACAAGTTTCGAAGTCTTCATAGAACAGTATTTTTTTTTTCCTTCAGATTTTCGTTTTTTAGAAGCTCTTCTGGAGGTACAAATCTTTTTTTTTTCTTTTTAAATTATCCAAATACTCACAAAACAGTTTTTAGTTTTAAAAAACCAAAAACAGCTTCTGAAAAACAGTGCTAAACGTACCTTAGCTGTTTTCACAAAGCCTGTGAGCATCTAAAGTACTCTTTTCCAAGTATAAAAAAGAAATAAAAGTGAAAAAAGAAAGATCGCTTGTAGTGTCCATACGACAATTTTCGTGTTATAGGATATGTTGGTGGTTGGACAAATATATATGGATCGTCTACTGGTAATGTATTGCTCAAAGGAAAAAAAAAAAAAAAAGAGAGATATAACACGAAGAGAGGCATTTAACTGGGCTAAATCCTGTTCACTTTTCTCTAACTCTTGCTCAATATATTGGAAACAAAATCCACATTTCAAACGAGATATTAACCAAAAGTAAAAGCATATGGAATATAATGTAGTTTGTTTAGACACTTTAGCATATTTCACTGGGCTAACTCTTGTTTGAAATGTGGATTTTGTTTCATATTGAGAACTGCAGTGTCCATTTCAAACAATATTTAGCCAGTTAAATGCAATGTTGTAATTATCTAGTCATTTAAATCTTCGTGAGGGAAATCATTATAGTGAAAAGGTTTGAATCCTGGTTCAAATTTATGAAAGGAACGGGCAGCATCTTTTTGAATGACTGGATAGTAGATATTAATAACATGGAAACTTTTTGGTTAACTCTTCATTCAATTTCAACCCCGTGTCATGTGGCATATTTCACTATGCCCTTTTAGCCTAAAATAAAGCCAATTCGACAAGATGGCTTCAAAAATTTCCAACTAGTAGTGCTCACTTTATACTATTGAAGACAATTTTGCAAATAGTGGAGCAGACTAAGATGTGAGAATGCAGAAAAAAGGGCTCTCAGAGTACTATTGAACGTACCAAAACAATGACGTACAACATAAATTTTTTAGCATCTTAATCACGGTAGTGGGGGCCTTAGGCTTAAATTTCTCATCGATATATGCCAACCTCATATGGTAGGGGACACCAGATGGTCCAAATTCACTTTTGTGGACATTTTATCTAGGATGGGTCGCGCCGTGACATTATTAACACATGCACATGGGACGCTGATTCGATTTGACTATTCTGTTGTTTTCTTAACTAACAATCTATTTTTTCTTATGAAAAAAAGAACCAACAGTCAATTTTGTTATTTACTGAGTTAATTGTAATATTGCTCACAAGAACTGTAGCAGTAAAATTAGAACTTTTAATCTATGAGGTTAAAAATGGTAAGTGCTGTTATGAGTTACTTGTTGGGATATATGCCTATAAATCAAATAAGATGTAAATATTTTATTGATTATCAATGAAATGAGGAATTTTTTTTAATATTATTTTGCATACATGTGATGTTTTATAAATATCAAAATCCCTAGATTATTTTTTGATGTAACTTTAAACATTGTATATAATTGTTATATGCAGAGGATAATGTTTGAAATAAAATAATCTAAACTTGTCCGTAATTATAAATTAAAGTTAGGATCTTTAATTTAAAATTACTAATGCGGTTCATTACATTCTGAATGAAACAATCTTATCCTAGATTGTTAATAATGAGATTATTGGAATGAAAGCATTTTATGTAATATGATTACATAGGACCGGAACATGATTAATTATGAATCTCTAATAAATTCCGTTATTAAATAGAGTATTCAATGTTAATCAATGATGATCATATATGTATTAATCTTAATTCTGAGTAATTAATAAACTCCTATTTCTGATATTATGTTCTTTGACATATTGAGTAATGACACATGTGAATAGTGTTAAAGTCTTGGTATATTGGGAGCATAGTAAAATAAATAGCTGGGAATATTAATTTATAAGATGAAATCCATTCCTTCATAATGAAGTAGATGGACGGTTCTCATAAGTGTTGATTCAAGACTTGAATAATAAGAGCGCTCAATTTTATGATTGGATCATAAAATATATTATTCATTAGAGGATCAATGGTACTTATAGAGAAAGATATAATTAAAGAGGTTAACGGAAAATACCTAGCTTTAATTATGAACCGTTTATGGAGGATTAATTCGTATGTAGTGACTATATCAATGGACAACACAAATTCCGTGAACATAATTATTTTTATTATTTTAAGAGTGCAATT